TTTGCTATAATTTTTTTTGGTTTTCCCCTTCGCTCTATTTTAAACCAAAGTCCAAAATTTTATTAAAAATAAAATTAAAATTGCTGAGAGCAATTGCCGATTAGAGGCTAGACCCGCTTGTGCCGACAACATGTCAAGCTAGTTTGCAACATTTTTATCAAACGATTTTGAACTATTCTATATGCAAAAAAAAAAAATGCTTGCACAAGATATTCTCGATTTTAATATCGATTTTGATGAGATGATAAGCTATTTCGAACGGATAGCGGTGTGAATAAATTCAAAGAAAACCTAGAAGAAAAAAAATCTCGATTTGATTCCTTCAACTATCATAGCGATCCTACGAGCAAGCCTAGTTACTCAGGACTGTCGGCGGGAATTGATTTCAGTTGTGCGCTTTGTTATTCCAGTAGCCAATAAAAAAACGTTTCCGTTAAATTTTGTTAATGCTTCTTTTTTTGCCGCTATCAGTAAATCCGCCACAAAAATTCCCTTTGGGTCCCAGGGTAGGCATATCATCGAATTACCCAATTGTCATATATCATTTCGTGGAACAACTTCTCATGGATTTATTTTGAGCTCTGCACTCTGTAAAATTTCGCCATCTATGACAGCTATTTTCTATTTTCTAAAATAAATATTACATAAGGTTATAAGGTTAAAAATTCGCTCAAAAAATTGTTTTAGATCCTTATTCTGAGGAGACGTAGTACTATTCGTTTATCAGCTCAGTCACTTTTGCAGTCAACAATATTTTGTTCATCTTCTCCCTATTGATCTATTTTTTGATCACAAAATAAAGAATGCCTTGATGCTTCAAAAGAGCATATATGCATACATTGAATACATGTTCAGGTCTGAAATTTATCATTACGCACTTTAGGTTTTCAGTAATCATTGCTAGATTGTTTAAGAGATAACAATACAGGTGAACAGTGGAAGCCTTTCATAATGGAGAAAGCTCAGTTCTTTTATACACAAACATTGTTTTTAATTAAAAGAGTTGGGAAAGATCACCTTCAGAAAGAGCAATTCAAAATCAATAGTAAGAAAAATAACAACACACCTGTCATGCTAAGTCAAAGTTTACAAACTTTTAATCAAAAGGATTTGGAAAAAAACCTTTGCCGCTATCAGTAAATCCGCGATTTTTTTTTTTTTTTTTTTTTTTTTTT